CTTGAGGACCACACTAAAGACTTTGTGTTCTTCGCAAACCTCACACACTACCTGGACAACTGCCTCTGCTCATTCTATCGAGCTGGACTTAACGCCATCACACGAGCGCAGTTGTCCGGAAATGGTCCCCGAGAGAGCATCGCCGCCTTCATCGAGTGGGTGCTAGTGTCCTGCAAGTCTCTTCTGACCGTGGACATCGCGAACAATGACACCAGCCCCACTCGGGACCCAGAGCCCAGTCAAAGACCACCCTGCGGTGCGGAGCTGCACGAGCCCACCGCAGACGGAGGGCCAGAGCCTGCTGCGGTCGTTGAGCCATCGGCATCAGGAGCGACAGAGCTGATGATTGCCCTGGAGCCTGAAAACCCAAATGTCTGACCAGGTGCGAGAGCCGACAGCACAAGCGATGGTGGATAGAGCTGTGGAGATCGAGGGGGCAATGGAAAGCCCCACCCATGGTGCCATCGCTGGGGGTGAGCACAAACTGGACCTGGGAGATTTAATAGACTTGCACTCAGAGATACCCGTCCTTCAGTTTTCACCCGACCTGTTTACCTGGGAAAATATCCCACCCCACCTCTCCCGCCTCCTCTCATTGACTTGTTCCCTTCCTCAACACACTCTCCGCTGGATCCCGTCAGCCTCGCTGCTCACCCTCAGCTCACCATCTGTGGCGTGGGCCTGCCGCTGGTCTGCCTATCTCCAGCTCCATTGACGTCGAGTCTGGAGGAACCCTTGACTCTGCCTACAGCCTCCGAGGCCCAGACTCCACCTCGGTCCTGCGACCCAGCGGCTCCATCATGGCTCCTAGCTCCCTCATCTCTACCATGGCCCGTCAGTCCACCAGCTCCACCGGGCTCCATCATGCCTCCGGCTCCGCCTTGGTCAGTCGTCGACCCTCCGCCGCCTCGGGACTCCACTCCTCTGGCTCCGCCTCGTCTCCCTGTCCTTCAGGCTCTGTCAGGCTCCTCCTTCCCTCCGGCTCCACCTCAGTCTTCTGTCGCTCCAGCTCCACCACGGCCTTCCGAATCCCCGTCTCCGCCTCGGTCGCCGGCGCCATCTGCTCCACCTTGGCCCTTTGGATCCTCGGTGTTGCCCTGGCTCATCGTCTCTCCGTCTCTGCCTCTGGTTCCTCCACCACCTGCTCCGCCGCTGTCGGTCGGCCCCCTGGAGTTGTCATCTCTTCCTCCACCTGGCTCCTCCTCCTGCTCTGGTTCCCTCCTGTCATCTCCCTGGCTCCTCCCTCCGTCATCACCACCCTAGACTCTGTTAGTCGTCCTCCTCCTGGGAGTCCGTCCTCCACCGGAACCTCCACCTGTCTGGTCTGCCTGTCAGCCCTTTGCCTTCCCCGTCACCATCCCACATCCACTCTTTTGTTCTCCTCCTAACTCCACTTCCGTCCCTCCCTCTGTCTCCACGGCATGAGGACGCGCCTTCCGGGAGGGGGGCGATCTGTCACACCCCTGTGGACTGTTGATTGTGGTTTCTGCCTCTGTGTCCATGTTTGGTTATTCCTGTTCTCATTATTAGTAATTCCTTTTAAAAATGTGAAGAAACTATACTGGCAGTAGAACTGGCACTTTTATTCCCTAAAACAGTTGTTGATTCAGTCTTTGTGTCTCAGAGACATGAGCACACTGGAAAACAGGAAAGATGAAAGACAGGAAGTGTGGGTCTTAGCCTGGAACTGAAAGTTAACACCATCCCTTACCTCTAACAGCTTTAATTACTGACTGGAAAAGTAGGTGTGGTAATATTTGTTGGTTTCATTAATGTCAATTCTGTCACAATCTGGTATCATCAGTTACTTGTCTTACTGATGAATTAACAACCTGAAGACACTGATTCTCGTAATATGTTTTTTTCTGACACTGTCGGGAAAAAGACTCCTGCGTGACAATATAATTGTGTTATGTAACTTATATCTATTTTGGGATGGACTGGAACATCTCATGGCTGATGCATTCATTTGCTCATAGCAATCTGATTGTTAACTAATCTTTGTTTTTCTTGGTAAATAAGAGAGTTAGCTATGCTCTGGAGGCTCTTCGGGACTCTGAAAATTCCAATGACTTCCAGATTTGCAATGGAAAAAGTTCCTACGTTTTGGAAACAAACACTTGTCAGAGTTGTAGCCTAGCAGTTAGCATATGTGCTCAGACACATAAAGAAATAGTTTTGAAAAGAAATACTTCTTTTAGTAATGTTTGTCCTCACTCTACTGCTATCAGGGGCATAAAAATTTTGTCTCAAGCCCTGTGAATTTTAGTGATCAGGGATGTTGGAAAAATCATAAAACTTAGCTTCACTCATAAATAGTAACATTTGACATGACATACGCACATTGGATTTGCTGAAAGACAGAGATTGGTAAATAAGCTTGGTTATCCTTTGCACGCTGGTTTCTACTTGGTCCAGAATTTAATATTTAAAATGGAAAATAAATCTTTTGAAATACGATTTTGTCTCAAAATGTTGGGTGGAGGGTGAATGTAGATATTTTTGTTAAATAATGGTATGTCCCTGATGGTTATACTATAAAAATAAACAGGTCACGATGACAATGCAAACATTTACAGACAAACTCCTACATAGAGTCCAACAGTCACCATTTGGCAATATGGGTCAGTAGGGTAATGATGGACACGCTGCACATTGCATGACATGGCTGCAGCTTATGATGCTATGAGATAGTGTGTGCACATATGTGACCCAGTCTCATCCCCTCTGACTGCCTAAATGGTAGAGTGATGAGTGAAAGAGAGGAGAAGGAGGAGGAGAAGAGGAGGAGCAGTCAAGCCAGCTGGAGCACTGGAGAGTTTGCATACCTTTTATGTTACCACCCCTACTGACTCTTTCTTCTGGACTGATTCCAGTACTCCCTCCAGCCCTCTATCTCCGACTTCCTCTCGCTCTCTCCCTTCCTCCCCACCCCCATAACTGAAATAGTCTCCTAAAGGATTGAAAAGGATTGAGTCATCCATTCTGTCCGGTTTCCTGTGGTCACAGAAAGTAAATTTTAGCAGGGGCGGCCAAGCAGATATGCATGCAAGTGTCAAAACCGAGAGAGATGAAGCCTTTAGATGAAACTCTGCGTCCAATAAAGAGAAAAACTCAATTCACTTCCACAGAAATGGGTGGGTGTAGCCTCATTGTGTCCGTCTTCTGTTGAATTAGCTGTCTGAAAGTTTGCGTCTGACTTCTTTCCTTGTTTGCGCGTGTGTTTAGGTTTGTGTGTGAGTGAGTGTGTGTGTGTGTGTGTGTGTGTGAGAATTCAAGGGTCACCAATGAAACCGCTGGGGTTTGCTTTTGGTTTTTTTTCTTTGCTTTAGTGGAGGAATGTTGGCATAAAATTTGGCTGGGGGGAAGGCAGTGAGCGGCGTCTCAAGTGCTGGCATTTGTTTCATTTCAGCTGTAATGAGTCTTGTCCTGTCGTGAGAGAAATTTCTGGCTTCAAACTAACAACTTCAAAGCTGGGCTTTTGAAAGTAAGAAAACCTTCAACAAGTCCTCACATGAAACTCGTTCAAGACTCTGGAAATGAAGGTTTAGACAGCCGAGAAGCTTTGTCTGTCCGGTCCTATCGGCATCTCTACTTCAGAGGAAACAAACGAGCTGCTAAAAACGTTGTTCTCATGAGCTGTTCTCATTTCAAGAGCGAAAAGAAACTGAAGCTATGCAGAGGGGGGAAAGAAAAGTTAAGGCTGCGTGCGTATGACTGCGCGTCTGTGTATGTGCGTCTGTCGATGTGTGTGCGTTTTTGAGGGGTGTGTGCGACTGTGTCTGTGTGGGAATGATTACATCAGCTTGAGCTAGCCCTATGATTGGTTAGGGAAGTGTGGTTTGATTCACTACCTAAAAGCCTGTGGCTGTAACCCTTTGTGAGGGGAACAGAGGCAAGTTGTCTGCCAAGCTGGAAACAGTGCCATCTGCATGCTCTGTCCTGTGCCAAAGCTAAACAGAGAGAGAAAGAAAAGGAGGGAGATTGTGACAGGTAGGATATGCTGAGCCACTGACAGGAAGAAGCATCTGCAAAGCATCGGAACTGCTTTTTTCCTTTTTTTGGTCCTTTTTTTCTCTCTTGTGGAGTTGTGGAGACATTCGGGGATTTGGTTTGTCTCTCAGAGTGTGAAGGAGGACACAGGCTGCTGGGGAAAATGCCATCGTGTTCTCCTGATTGTTGCCTTCTCAGGCCTGGGGAGGTAAGATTTCTCCTCAGCCCAAATCTACAGCTCCTCCTGGCTACTTCAGAATCCCTCTCCGTCTAGGCGACTAGAAAAGTCTGGGGAGTTGGTGTCCGTCTGTAGTGGGGGGGAAATAGAACCTGTAGAATGAAACTGAAAATCTAAAATAGAGCGTGACGGGAACGGTTACATCCACGGTTTGACTGAATGATAGAATTCGTCTGAGTAAATGTCGTTGAAAAGCTGTAAAGGTTGGCGGAACGGATTTCTAAACGTATGTGTTGTGGGCTGAAGTGTGCTGGGTGAGAGAACGTATGAAAGATCTCAGAACGTGTTAACGATGTTGCAAATAGGAATAGGGAATTTTCGAGAAAACCTAGTATGTGTGTGATGAAGGGGACACAATGGCACAGGACTCGTTTAGTGTGGAGCACCAAACTATTTCAAAATAAACCTATTTTTAGCTTCTCCTACTCATATTAGTAAGGATGTAGTCTAGACATGGAATTTGGATGTGAAAAGACCTGGATTTGAGCATTAATGGCTTTACACTCTGGCTCAAAGCCTTTGAAGAGTTACATATATTCATTTTTTTTGTATAAAGATATCGTAAGGTCACATAAAATGCTGTTGTGTTTCACTATTTAATGTTTATTTTATTTCCGCCGGGGCCCTAGAAAATAAAATTGTCTTGTGACGCAGTAAAATTTCCCAGTATGTAAATATGTTTTTCCATGCAAGAAATTTGTTACTGTTGTTTCAATTTAATCTCAACATCATATCTAAGATATCAAATTTTTTTTCCCATGTATTTCAGATCATAAAAATCTTCAGCGAGGATGGGATGGGAAAGGTGGTGGAGATCCCAGCCGACATGACGGCGCGAGACCTGTGCCAGTTTCTTGTCTATAAAAACCATTGTGTGGACGATAACAGTTGGGCGCTTGTGGAGCATCATCCAGCCCTGGGACTTGGTAACTGACTTGCTAGTTTTCTAGGCTAGAGGGGAGCGAGTGAATTTATAGAGCTGTTTTAAAGTGTGTGTGTGTGCGTCGACCACTTTAGATGCAGTAATTACAGGGTCTTTTGTGCTAGAGTTGAAATCAATGATGACCATGTAAGAGAAGAAGACAGACTTCCTTGATTCATCCTTTTATGTCCTCGGGCTGAGGGTAATTGATTAACGGTCGCCGGGGGAAATCCCATCTCACGGAGAGACATAACAGGAAGTTCAGTTCCCCAAGAGTTGAACTGGTACTGGTTCTGGTATTTTAGAGTCGAGATATTCATGTGTTTTGTGCTTCAGGACACAATTTATAAGGTGATCCAATATAGCACCAAAGCTGTTTATGATCCAAGATTCAACTACCAGAAAAATAAAAGTTTATATGCATTTGAATCCATAGGTAAATTAGTTTAAATTATATTTCCTTTTACCTGCATAGTTCTGTTAATTTTTTTTTGTCAGAATGTGAGCATGACACCCTATGCGTGTTGATATCTGCCTAATTTGGCTAGATTTTAGAAGATGACAGATTAATTTGTCTAAATACCATATTCTTTGATTGGTCACACAACTTTGGGAAGTGTTGTTGGTAACACTTTAGAATAGGGAACACTTATTAACTATTAACTACGACTTTCCCCCTCAATAAATTCCTAATTTGCTGCTTATTAATAGTTAGTAAGGTAGTTGTTAAGTTTAGGTATTGGGTAGGATTAGTGATGTAGAATAAGGTCGTAGAATAAGGCATTAATATGTGCTTAATTACTTCTAATAAATGGCTAATATTCTAGTAATATGCATGCTAATAAGCAACTAGTTAAGAGACCCTAAAATAAAGTTTTACCGTGTTTTTTGTACCTTAAATGTTCATAAGCCTCCTGATTTTGCCATCCTAACTATGTAGAGTTATATAATTATTTGCATTTTATTGTTTGTAATTAGAATTGTTATAGTGCTTTAGCTCGTACCGCTTTAAACTCAAACATGGTCAGTGGGTTCATTGACGGTTGTTGTCAGAGTGCACACGTTGTGGGCAAATCTCTAGGCTAACGCATGCTGTGTGTTAACTGGTTACCTCAAATAACCTGTGGTGTGAACATGAGTCTTGCTAGTAGAGCTGAAGTCAGCCCAGGGCAACGAGTCATACAGGAAGTTCAGCCACCCGAGTACGTGGTCTGGACAGGATTTCGTTTTCCAGTACAACTATTTGCTTTGTTTGGCAAACAAACCATTTTATTTTTATTTTTTTAAACAGACATCCTGCTTTCTTTCTCTGTATCATCATTCTTTCGTCATTCTTTCAATGTTCTATTTTACTTTAAGTTTCCAAGTGAGTATTTGAGATCCAACAGATGATTAGGAAATTTGGGGAATTTTGAAACTGTAGCTGCCAAAAGCTATAAGTCTACTCATAATATAATGGGGTTAACCTACAGTCAAGTTAATATTTTTTAAAAAGTAGGTAGCTACATTATAAGCTATTAATAAAATGTAGCTAACTGCGTTTCAGATATTAAAGGGGATAATGGAAATACATTGTTTTACATGTAAGCATCAGATTATTTTAATCAACAATTAATCATGTAATCCTGTTTATCTGACACAAAAGCAATGAGAATCTCAATGGCTGTATTAAGTTGTTCAGAAACTAAACACTAAATGCAAGTAATAAAAATACAAAATCAGTTTCTATATCTGAGGAAAACATGGTGAACAGCATCATAAACTAAACAAAAATATATAAAAAATACCTCATAGAGATTTCTGTTCAGAGAAATCAGTATGGTCAGTTAGTGTATTGCTTTTTTGAACCAATTTATTTAACTTATTTACTAAAATGAATCAGACTTCTCAATGCTACACATATGAAAAATGCGTGTTTGGAAGTTTTTTTTTTACTTGTTTAAGGTAAGCCCGATCTCTGAAAATAGCCATTGTGCTGGTATTTGGTATCCCTGATACCTTTACATTAATAATATTAATTTAATTTCTCTGATTCATGTCTTGATTCACTTTTTCTACATTGCACAACAGTACTGACACAAACAGTTTGGACAAATGCTTTATTTTATATGCGAAACAGGCTGCGTTTAAAACGTCAAAGCAGGTCCATTCCTCATTTGTTATGTATCCACTCTGCTGGAATAGTGCAAAGTGCGGTTGAACGAAAGCATGACATCATCTCTCTGCAATCCCGACTCTCTCCTTACTAAGCCAAATATTGAATGGTGGGATGATGGAAAAGCTTGTCACTTCAGAGTACTTCTGTATCTCCAAGCGTCATTTCAAGATGGATGTGTTGTGGGGAAAAGTCATAAACAGGGTTTGTCGTAAAGTGGATTAAAGTGCGCATAAATTGATACACATATACAAAATTGTTGTTAGGGTGAATAATTGCTATATGCTTTCTAGACACAGTGACTGTAGAAAGGAACAAATGTGGTTTAAGCAAGTGAAAATGTGCGGTTCTTACCATAAAAGAATAGTTCACTCAAAAATTTAAATTCTGTAATTTCTCACCCTCATGTCAGTATAAACCATCAAATACATTCTTTAATTGCACATTAAAGGAGATTTTTAATAATGTGCTGGAGTTTTAAAGCTTCAAAAAGAATGCAAAAGCACCATAGATGCATCATAAAAAATGTCCACATGGCTCATGCACTGTATTCTTAACACATTCATGCTGTGCATGATGATTAGACCAAATGTAAGTAATTATTTAGTTATTTAGATATTGCCACAATAAAGGCCATTTTAGGTTAAGTAAACTTTTAAAAGTGTCTGTATCGAGAATAGAGAAGTTGACCAAAAATATCAAGTTCCAAACGTAATTCTCCCTCTAGGTAGTACCACAATGGGGGTTTGAACACGGAGCTCAAGCCGAGCTTTGGTTCGAGCCTCCATTGAAGACAGTAACCTTTTCACTGCATTTTTGCCAAACTTTATTTTATCTCAAACTTCTCACTCTGTATTTTGGTAAAGCTATAGCTCATGCTAGACTTTGAGCATGAAACATTTTGGACAATGTGATGGTTGTAATATGATGTCACACTATGCAACGTCTTTTTTTCTTTTTTTAAACATGATTATTCCTAGAAACAAATAAACTATCCAAAATATGGAATCTACTCTGCTTTTCTGCAATGCTAAGAGGTCAAACCATGATGTAGGCTATCAGTCTTCTCTTGGTCACACGTCTTCGCGTGATACAAATTTGCAAGGCGGAGCTCAACAAACTTGCAGCGAAATTTGCATGAATTTGCGTTTCCTGTCTTCCATATTCATATGGAATTAAAAAGTGCATTGTGATCGCCCCTTAAGGATGTTTTTGGGGTTGGTACAATGTATCCCCCTGTAGCATCCTGTTGCCAAACAAGCCCTCTGAACAGTTCAAAAGTTGGATGAAGAACATGTTCATGTAAGAGTTCAGGGTCGTTTTTTTTTAGCATTCATGACTAGTGTTAATTACACCACCATTTAGTCCCATAGGACAGAGATTGTGATAAAGACAGAGAAACTAAATAGAGATCATTGCATAGATCAAATGGGGTTTTTTTTAAAGTCAGTAAGTCCCTTTACTGGTTAAGCTGAATGGAGGGTGGGGAGAGAGGTGTTGTGTGGGGGGATTTATATCCTTCAGACAAACTCTCTTTTCATCAGGCAGGGATCGCTCACCCTGTTTATTTTTTGTCTGCCTGCATGAATGCCAACAGACAATGATGTCATTCAAGATGCAAATATTACACCACGTTTGAGTCTTTGGTTACAAAGATGCATTTTTGTCATATGTCTATACACACAGACCTTTTCAGAAGAGCAATGCAGATTTTGAAGGGTGTATGTGACTTATTTTAACCTGATTCTTTTTTTTCTCCATAATTCCACAGAGAGATGTTTAGAAGACCATGAGCTGGTTGTCCAAGTGCAGGCGTCAATGACCAGTGAGAGTAAATTTCTCTTCAGGAAGAACTATGCCAAATATGAATTCTTTAAAAATCCTTTGGTAAGTTAATCCAAGACCTCACACTTTCATAATTAGGTGAAGGTGATTGTAGATTATTTTTTATTTCTGTCTCGTAGTCTAGGTGTAGGTGTCGGTAGGTACATAAGTAACATGACACGTATTATCGCTGAAGGAAAGTTCCTCACATTAATGGACTGTTTTCAGGCTTATTTGGTAGATGCAGATATCAAGTGACATGATTCCAGTTCAGTGAGCTGCTCTCACACTCTCTCTCACACAATCCAAAAGAAACCCATGCCTCTTACTGTTTGAGCTGGTAATCAAACACTTTCACGAACATTCAGTCCTCTTGTAAATTCAGCTGGAGACAGAGATGGAAAAGAAATCTGTGCTTTAATTGTCAGATTTTTTATTTTTTTTTACCCTTTACACTGTTTTAAATTGCTGTAACACAAGTACGCTATTGACTAGAGAATCTTTGGTAACACTTTCTTTGGGCCTGTTTACACACAGTCACCTTATGCAAGGCGCATCAGATTGCATCCCGTTTACACTTGGCAAAATGTATGTGCTTCCATAAAATGAATAAAAAACTAATTATATTAAATACACAGTCAGATATAGTGTGACTTCCGTAAAGATTCTCATGCTAGTCAGCAAAATTTTCACCCGATATGACACTGACAATTAGTTTCATGATGATTTCTCCATCCATTTGTCACTTGTGGGATTGCCAAGCATTTGTATGCTGATGTTTTTCCATTTGGGAAGAATTCAAGTATGTGGCCTGCACAGCTGAGTGTGGCTCTTTGGAATACTGGATTCTGATAAATCTTGATCTGGTGAAAATTTACAGTTAAACTTATGCAGCCAATTTCGTACACAGCTCTGCTAGTTTCATGTCTCTCCGTGGGCTCTTTCTTCTCACATAATAAAATAATTTCAACTCTCATCAACATTTAATGTTGATTTATTTGATAAGTAACAGTGTAAAAAGATAGACAGTGTAAAGTCCGCTGATTATTAACAAAAACAACAAAATCCTTCAGGGGTTCATGTTAAGGATTTGAGGATTATTTTGCAATAGCAAATGATTGACTTTATATTATCATTTACATCTAATACAAAACAGATCATTGATGTATTCAGTTGGTTATGCCATAAAAAGTAAGTAATTTAGAATATTTATGTCAGTTCATTATTTAATATGGTGCAGGTTATATACAATGCTGTACCAATGATTTTTGTTTAAATTCTAAGACATTATGTGCACTGTAAATAATAATTGTTAAGAATTTTTTTAAGTTATTCTCTGAGCTATGCAAAGCTTGGTACTGAATCTCCTGAAAATCCTTGTGGTGGTAGAAAATAATTAGAAGAAAGTCAATGTGTGGCAGGCTTACGCTTTTAAAAGATTATGTAATACTCCATTGTTTTGTGGGTTTTTGGACCAAGGAGCTTTTAGAATAATTTCAAATAATTGCTCTTTTCTTTCATCCACCTTAACCACTAAAGACAGGGTTTTTCCAGCAGTCATTAGAAAACCTTTCCCTTTGTTGAAGATAGTGTTTTTCTGTGTGATGAGGCAAAATGTTAAACAAGCAGATGTATATCTTTAATCATAGAAAATGTATTGTTACTTTTCATTATTATTATTAATATTATTAGTAGTAGCAGTAGTAGTAGTTGTATTAGACTAATTTTTTTTTCATTTAATAAGCATCATACTACTAATAAGAGTTATATACTGTAATGTTGAATTCATTCACACGTGTCACGAATCCGGTCTATGAACTTCCGTTCACTCACCACCAGAGGTCACCCGCTCACTACATGGACTCTCACACTACACAGACTTTTACTCTATACCCTGGACTACATTTCCCATCATCCATTGCAGTGATTGCACTCAGCTGTAGCCAATCACACATTCACCTGAAAGCTATTACACACACTATATAGCACTCACTCAGATCCTGCTCAAGTCGCCGAGTATTGTCTGCGTTTATCGCTCTCCAAGTGATTGCACTTTACGGAGCCATTTCTCTGTCTTAGTTTCTAGTTCATAGTTTAGTCTAGTCTAGTCTTGCCTTGCCTGGTTTCCTGTGTGAAGATCTTTGCCTGTGTGTTACGGATTACCCCTTTTGTCTAGCCATCTGGGTTTTGTACGTCTATCGAAGACCCACGCTTGTCCTAGGATTACTCTTTGTCTTGCTTGTGTTGTACCTGTTTGCCATTGTTTGACCCATGCCTATTATGACCACATCTCTTAATAAAAGCATGCACATGGATCCGTTCGCTACATGGATCCCTTCGCTTCACGTCTCTGTTGCCCCGTAACAGAACTCAACATTGAGATGTAAATGTAAAAAGTTATATTAAATGGAGTGTCTATTTACACTAAGTGCAAATGGCCCGCATTGTTGGCAGAGGCTATTTACACTAACTCCGCCCACCAACGTGTGATTGGGGTAGTCAAAACTACAAAAGATGGTTGTCAAACATCAGCTCCAGTGGCGTAGGTGGTAAAGCGTGTGCCGTAGTCTTTTTGATGTGATCAACCCTTTTCAAATCTCATATCTCACTGGAAAGGCATATATTTTTAATCAAAATGAAAAAGTTTAAAATAAAGTATCGGGTACGGTTAGGGTAGGTGTAGGGAGGGCTTTATTGTCCCAATTTAATAATTTGAATTAAAATTATAATTTACACTCAATACTTTATCATTTGCTGTTTTTTTGACAGAGCTTCTTCCCAGAGCAAATGGTTGCCTGGTGTCAGGAAACCAATGGGACCATCCCCCCATCTCAGCTCCTGCAGGTACTGTACAACACAGACACGTGTTCTCTTTTCCATCACCCCCTAGTCTAACATCAGCCCACACATCGTTGACTTTTTACAAGATAAGACCCCTCTCTTATAATCTAGCTGACAACTGTGTTAGTGAACAAAGATATGCTACATACAACAGATTTTTTTTCCCACAATTGACTGATTATTTACAATATTTTATTTACAGTATGAGTTATTTTTTGTTTTACAAAAGAACACACGTTTAGTCAGATTTAGCTAATTTCTCCGAGTCCCTTTATAACCTTCCTGGATATCCCGTTTAAAAAATATTATTTTTAATCAGTGGTTTATTAGCACATTGTGAATAGTTCACACAGAATAGAAAACCACAAATCTTAGCTGACTGTTTGATTTAGCTGTTTTATAATGTACTACAGTACTGAAGTGCAGAAAATTGCCACTATTTGCAATAAGTAGTAAAATAGTGTAAATATAATCTATAGCTATTTGCACTTAGTGTAAATGGCATCTATCACTAAGAAAAGTTTTTTTTGTTTGTTTTTTTTGACAGAGCTTCTTCCCAGAGCAAATGGTTGCCTGGTGTCAGGAAACCAATGGGACCATCCCCCCATCTCAGCTCCTGCAGGTACTGTACAACACAGACACGTGTTCTCTTTTCCATCACCCCCTAGTCTAACATCAGCCCACACATCGTTGACTTTTTACAAGATAAGACCCCTCTCTTATAATCTAGCTGACAACTGTGTTAGTGAACAAAGATATGCTACATACAACAGATTTTTTTTCCCACAATTGACTGATTATTTACAATATTTTATTTACAGTATGAGTTATTTTTTGTTTTACAAAAGAACACACGTTTAGTCAGATTTAGCTAATTTCTCCGAGTCCCTTTATAACCTTCCTGGATATCCCGTTTAAAAAATATTATTTTTAATCAGTGGTTTATTAGCACATTGTGAATAGTTCACACAGAATAGAAAACCACAAATCTTAGCTGACTGTTTGATTTATTGAACTATCAATTATTTTCTTCTTTTACCTCCAGAACTTCTTAAACTCTAGCAGTTGTCCTGAGATCCAGGGATATTTGTATGTGAAAGAAATGAGCAGGAAATCATGGAAGAAACTGTATGTGTTTTTAAGACGGTCAGGGTTGTACTTCTCAACAAAAGGAACGTCAAAGGTGAGTTATCTTTCATACTGGTGAAATGGCAACACTAAACTTAAATTTTGCTTGCTTTATTTCTAAAAAAAAAGTAACAAACCTAGTCTGTTTTACCAGTCTATATCATGTACAAGCCTCTGTTAATGTCATCAGGTACTGGTTAGAACTGTCCCCTCCCCTATTTCTGAGTGCTCTTTTAGTGCCCTCTCCCCTCCTTATCCATTAAATGACATGAGCGGTTGGCTGATCTTTCACAGGAGCCCAGGCATTTACAGCTACTAGCAGACCTGGAGGACAGCAATGTCTTTACAGTAATAACAGGGAGAAAGCTGCACAATGCACCTACTGACTTTGAATTCTGCATAAAAGTAAGTTTATGTGATCTGTTATGAGAACCCTTAAATTAGATAAGCTCTGAAAAGTTAAATGTTAAACATTCAACGCAAATTCAGTCTAATGCAGAAAAACACAGTTTTAGTAGCAGAGTGACTAATGTTGTGTATTATGATTATTTGCAGCCTAACAAAGTAAGGAATGAAGTGAAAGAACTGAGGATGTTGTGTGCAGAGGACGAGCAGAGCAGAGCATGCTGGATGACTGCCTTCAGACTCTTCAAGGTTGGTCGTTTAGAACCTGCACCCTTTCCATGTTACATCTGGAACCTGAGCCTTTTTCCTGACTGCGCTAGAACCCATAGTTTTTCCATGGCTGACCTTAAGCCCACATCCTTTTCCTGGTTTATTTTACCTTAACCTTTACCTTGAATGATCTAGAACCTGAAAAATTTCACTGACTGATCTGATACCTCTTCTTTTTACTGGCAGTTTTAAAGGGCGCACTCTGCACCTTCTCTGTGGTTTACCTGGAACCTAAACTTTAGCTAACTGAGCTAGAACTCCCACCCTTCCATGGCTGATCTAGAGCCCACACCTTTTTCCCTTGGCCAATCTAGGATTTGTACCCTTTCCTTAACTGATCTGCAGTTGAACCTGCAAACCTTTCCTGGCTGATCTAGAATGCTCACCTTCTCCAGGTTGATATAGAACCCCCTCCTTTCCTTGCCTGATCTAAAATCTTATTTCCTTGGCTAATCTAGAAGCTGCTAATTTCCCTGACTAATCTAGAACCCATTGCTTTCCATGGCTATTCTAAAAACTGCACCCTTTCATATGTTCATCTAGAAACTGCACCCTTTCCAGAATCTGAGCCTTCTTCCTGACTGATCTAGAACCCATATGCATTTCAAGGTTTATCTAAAACCTATATCCTTTCCCTGACTGATCTACAACATGCACTCTTTCCTTAGCTGTTCTAGAACCTGCATTCTTTCCCTGGGTGATCTAAAACCCTCAAACATTTTAAGGCTGATTTAGAACCTACACCCTTTTCTTTGACTGATCTAGAGCATCTGTGACAAACATAATGCAGTGATCTATGCATCAGACGTAAATGATGTATGACATGTTGTGTACTGAAAGGGGAAAAATGTCAAATTTATTCAAATGCAGTTATGACAATGAGCACCTTACACTTGCAGCTAATGCTGCTGTCATGAGAGTATATCTGAGGAGCAAATTCACATTTTTTCATTCTGGCAGCGTCTTTTCACTTTGAGGAAAACACAGTGAACAATTCTGTACATCAGCATTATGTTTTATTATGGTATTTTGTTAAAGGGTATCATTCTTTTTTCAACTGTTTTACACTTTTTTTTCTTTCTTATAGTATGGAATTTTACTCTATCAAAATTACAAGATCCCCCAGCAGCGAAAAACATTGCTTTCACACTTCTCAGCGCCTGTGGTAAGACACTCACTCACTTAATCTAGTCCTGCATTCTCTCTCTCTTCCTCTCTACCTCACAGATGGAGCATTAATCAGACATGTGTCAGTATGTGGGCCATGATGTCACATTATGGAATGATTGTTCCAGTGTTGGCAGTGAAGTTATTATTACAGCTTGTCCTATGGATATTATGCAATGCTGACAATTTTAGAAAAAAATTAACAGAGGTCAATCCATGCATGTTCATGTTATGCTTAAAAAGTTTGGTCCCACTTTATATTAAGTGGCCCTAATACCTGTGTACTTACATAGTAACTAGATGTGTACGTAGTATGTAACCACAGTGTAAGTACACATTGGTACATAGTATCTAGAGCTGTAATATTTCAGTAACTACAAACATGTAACAACCCTCTGAATGGTTTGTGTAAGTACAAATGTGTAACAGGACATATATAACTACATTTTGTAACAACAATATGTATAAGAGTAATTGGAACAATTTGATCCAAGGGGTGGAGATGGGTAGGTTTAGGGGTGGAAATGGGATCCAGGGGGTGGAGATGGGTAGGTTTAGGGATATGTAAAGTGGGAGGAGTTGGATCTCAAGTTGGTGGAGTTGGTGCACCACTGTAATACCAGTGTACTTACATGGTAACTCCTCAGGAACTGTCCACTTAATATAAAGTGTAACATTCTGGACACCAACCACAATTTATATGTAAAGCCTAACTTACTGGCCGTAATTACAGAGTAATTACATGATAAATCTAATATAAAGTGTAACACTTTCTTTACCAAAAGGTGCTGTTAGTCCTGTTACACATTTGTATTTTCATTATCAAAAAGTGTTGTTACCAATGTCCTGTTACACATTTGTACTTACACATACCATTCAGTGGGTTGTTACGTATGGGTAGTTACACAAACATTAGAGCTGTAGATAATATATACCAATGTGTACTTGCACTGTGGTTACATACTACGTACACATCTAGTTACTATGTAAGTACACAGGTATTAGGGCCACTTAATATAAAGTGGGACCATCAAAAGACAACACGCATGTAATAGGGCAAACAAAGTCGCTGTAACTTCCGATCTTCTTTTCCAGAGGAGTGTCTCAGAGAACTCTCTGGTAGCCATGGATTTCTCAGGGAGGATAGGCCGAGTGATTGACAATCCTGTGGAGGCTCAGAGTGCTGCCATGGAGGAGGGACATGCCTGGAGAGTCAGTTCCAATGATCTTCTTTGTTGTGATTGTTTAGTTATTTGATTTTTAAAATATCTATCATGATCTAGATGAATTACAGATAATATGAATCATGTTTCTAAGCAGTGTTTACCAGTGCAACACAGATAATACAGATGTCAAATTTGTCAATAGAAGTTATGAGTTACTGTTTACTGTTTTGTAATCAAATTAGCATGATGTAGAATTTTTTTAGTTGATTGACTGTGGTGGTTTATGTCTCCCTGTCTTTTTTCAGAAGAGAAGTCAGCGTATGAATATACTAGGAAGCCCCAGCCCATTACACCCCTCATCATTAAGCGGAGGTACTTTCTAGAGTGTTTAAATCAGTATTTTGACATATATTTACTTTTTTTACATTTATATTTACATTATCATGCCTACTCATGTATTTGAAAGAAGCCTTTTATTTTTACCGAGGCTATATTTATTTGTTCAAAAATACAGTAAAATAGTTAATCATTATTATAATTGGATGGCAAATCTGCATTTTTAGTAGCCATTACTTCAGTCTTCAATGTCATGTGATCCTTCAGAAATTATTGTAATATGCTGGTTTGGTGCTTAAGAAACGAACTTATTACTATCAATTTTAAAAACAGTTGTGCTTAATATTTTTGTGGAAACCGTGGTACATGTTATATTTTAATCAATTGAAAAACTAAAGTAAATTCTTTGTAACAAAGTGAATTGATTTACTGTCACTTTTGATTAGTGTAATGCATTCTTGCTGAATAAAATAATTTATTTATTTTAATGTAAATGGTGGTATGTTTAGTACAAATCCAAAGTCCAAACATTTAGCTGGTAATGTAAATAAAAGTAAAATTTGATTTGAAAAAGTGTAAAACAAAAACGTTATTAATTACTATTACTATACATCATTGTCTTAATAAGAACAGTTCGTTAATGTCAGGTCATGTGTAGATAAAATCCTTGCAATTTAAGAATGTCCAATACATGCCTATTGAATATGCACAGTACTCCATAGAAAAGTGCTCACCATCATCCTTGTCCTAAAGACATTTTGTATCTCCTCTGATCCAGTTATCCACAGAACTCAGCTGTGGTTTCACGGTCGTATTTCACGGGAGGAGTCCCACAAGATGATCCATCAGCAGGGCAGAGTGGATGGGTACATATCACAGCTCATTAGTTATTCTCAACAACATTCTGGATGATTCTCTGTTCTAACTATGCAAGATATACTTACACGTAATTGTCTTTTGTGCAACAGAATGTTTCTCTTGAGGGATAGCCAGAGCAATCCTAAGGCATTTGTACTTACAATGTGTCATCACCAGAAAATCAAACATTTCCAGATTTTACCGGTAAGATTTTATAGTTTCCTGCACTCAAAACATGTAGCATATTAACTTTGTGTGCTGATGCACATATGGCATATCCTTAAAACAGTAAAGTATTCCAAGTATGCATTAGATTTTTTGAATACTACCTTGCTGAGAATGAGTGTGAAAGACAAGAAACTTATGTTACGCAAGGGCACAGATGCAAATGTTGGGCCAACGCATTGCAAGTGCACAGCACGCTGTACATAACAAGCATTCTTGCTTTCCTGTGCCTGTAGCAAACCTCAAAATATAACAGTTGGGCGATAGAGTTAAACTTCAAAAGGCTGAGCCTTTAAACTGTGTTATTAATCAGGTATCTGGCTATAAACATGTCAGCATGACTTCAATTAACATGCTCAGCAAGAATCTTTTCAAACCGTAGCTCTGCCGGTAGAGAAACCTCACTGCAGAAACCGACAGTTTAGAATCCTATTTAAATTGCATGAAATTAAATTGCAGCCTGGCACATTTCAGAATGCATAAAAGTTTTATGTTTTCCATTTTCCAGTGTGAAGAAGATGGTCAAATGTTCTTGAGCCTCGACGACACCGCCACCAAATTCACAGACCTGATCCAGTTGGTGGAGTTTTACATGCTGAACAGAGGAGTTCTGCCTTGCAAACTTAAACACCCCTGCACCACTGTGGCCTTATGACCTCCATTTGCCTGATTCCACCTAAATACAAACACTCAGACGTCATGTGCTGTGGTGTAATGCTGTGCTGCTGGGCTGGAGAAAAGCACACTGCGAGAGCAACTCTCTATCAAGGAGAGAGGAAATCAAAAGAACAAACACAAACAGGACCAGCAAGAAATAAAGGAAATAAAGCTTGTGTGTTAGCTGCTGACGAACCTCTCAGCCACCTGCACACTAGACCGTGGCCAGAGCAGGTTCTCAGGACAATCATCCAGAGGGAGTCTTCAGGATCCACGGTCTTAATCGTGCAGATAATGGTTTGGGAAGACCAGCAGAACACTCGTAAATCACATTTGATTTCATTTTGCACTCATAAACCAGGAACAACCAAGCTATGGCAATTGTTGCTTTCATAAATCAAGCAGATTTGATTCTAGAATGTCCTGTGAGATGCGGACACCCGATTGGTGGTTTCAGTACTGTGAAAAGACATTGCCGTTAAATTTGTGCTTTCTATCGTTTTCACCGGTAATCACTAGAATATTTAGACACTTGTTTTCTTTTTATGTGCTCATTGTGTTGAGCAAAGAACTCTCATGCATAGTGCATTTGGCCTCTTTTATCGTGTTAAACACTTGTGTAGTTTTTCCCCTTCACAAAACATAACCTGCAGCACTCTCTACTGGCTATACCAAGAATTAACGTGTCCCTTCACTCCTTCAAGGAATAGTTTTTTTTTTGTAGAACACAGATTGTTCAGTTGTAAATTGCCATACAGCTGTATTTCTTAGTTCATAGTGACCATGGCTTTTTCCAGGACAAAACCCCCCCATGAAAGTATTAAATACGACTATATTTCAAGCCATACGACAGTATTGTATTCGAGACCGCAAGAAGGTTGAGTGCGAGTCCAAATGTTCCCGTGTGCATGACAACTCAAGAGTCCAGTCTTGAGTACTAAAACACTGCCACATGATAGATTTGTGTGAGGAACCATCTGAAATTTTGACGCCAAGCTTACGTCTAACTCGTATCCGCTAAAAAAAGAAAAGATTTTGGAAAGACATGAAGGTGAAAAATGATGGCCAAATGTAGTTTTTGAGTGAACTATTCCTTTAAACATGAGTACAAGAACATGGCCTGACATCACCACCACATCCTTTAGGAACGGTGCCTTGATTTTAAAGAGGAGTCTGTTGAGTAATAACCACTAAACCCTCTGCTGGGAGCTCCGCTGTGGGTCGCAGTCTATCAGGAGCTAGATCAACAAACTGGAATCTTTAGAACTGCTGTTATCTCTTGAGTCCCAGCTCCAGTCTATTTTTGTTGTTGACTTTCTAGTTTTCTCTCCATGTTTCGAAAGATTGTTTCGAGGACAGCACACTGTGAAGCTCGGGCTAAGAACACCCACAGAAAGATGGGGTTCGAATTTATAATCTGCCTTGTCCATGGTAGCAGTAGATACAACGGATTTGTAAAGATATTTTTTTTTGTACTTGTGACGCAATGTAAAGAAAGAGCCATGTTTTTAGTTTGTACCTATATTGTATTAAACTAGATAGAGAGGGCATAGCCACCATGTCTACAAGTTCACCCAAGATATCAGTGCATAGTTAAATGCAAACGACGCAATCATTTTTAAGTATTGCTTCAACAAATTTATTTATTTATCTGGATTTGATTACTTGAAATTTAGTTTCGTTTTTTTTCTCAGCGCTGTTCGATAATATTCTTCCACAATTTTGTGATTTTTTTTGGACCTCAGTTATTAACTACAACCCCTTTCTTGAATCTTTTAGCACTGATTCTTCATCAACATCCTACTGTAGAACACCGTCTTCATGGTCTTTTTTAATGGTAGAGTCAGTAAAGCCTGTTCAATGGGTTGTACTGTTGTGTACATTGCTGTCAATTGTTAATCTGACACTATATTGAAAACACATCTTTTGGAAAAATATTCCAGTGGACAAAAACACAAGTTAGCACATGATATGGTGCAACAGACATGCATTGTACATGTATTCCAGACAGCTTTGTTTCCATTCACGCTAGATGAACTATGAACAATTAAGGTCTATTTCGCAAATTTCATATTGTTGTCTATAAAAAAAATAGTAGTCACAAAGTAACATTAAGCTGTTCATTCATAGATGTATTCTAAGATATATGTAATTCATGTCATCTCATTTAAGTAAGGCATAATGTACAATCAGCCGGTTTTCGAAAAAAAACAAAAAAATCTCGAAAGGGCAATCCTGATATTTTGACTGTACATTATGCTGCTTATTACACGGCTACTTACAAATAAAAAGTAAATAAAAAATGAAATATTGATTTATTTGACAAGGAATCAAGTATCAAGCATTTCAGAGAGCCGTGTAATAAGGATATGATCTCAGTCTGTCAGGTAGTATTTAGAACTCATTGGATGATTTAACCACAGAAATTGACTGCAGGGCTTAAGTCAGCGCTATTATTATTCACTTGAATATCGTTCTCAGTGTCAGTTAAGTTAATTCAAGCCTTGAGGATGAGTGTATGTCAGTGTTGATTTAGCTGCAGTTTGGGTGGGTCGTACGTTCACCAAAAACACAAGCATATACACGCAAGCTTTCTGAACTTGACATTATTGTCTTTTATTTTTCAGGGTTTGATAAGTGAAGCTATACAATCAGCCAGCCAAGGACTAAACTAACAACATTTCAGTTATGATGCTATTAATTAGCATATTCTGCAACCAGTTTCGATATACTATAATTCTAGTGTAACAGTATATGAGGAATTTTTCCGCCTGGTTCAGACAGATGGATGTATTGAGTTTAGAGGTCATATGATTTTTTTTTTCTGAGATACATTTAACAATAACAAAAAAAGAAAGGAAAAAACCCCCACAATTTTTGGATTTTGCCAGTGAGGAAGTTAAGTTGAGGCTAGTTTACTATATGTTACTGGTGAATCACCTGTGTGAGTAAAATTGATCTGTAGGATAGTCTGAGTACCATTAGCGCTTAACCTACTTGTTAACTAGTTGGCCGTTCAGTCTAAAAGTGAGTGTGAGCAGGATGTTTGTTCACAATCCAGACACTCTGGGAGTTAATACAGTAATACATCACAGTCACGTTGTCTGTACACATTTATTTCATTTGCAGCATTGTTTCATTTTTACATATAGCATGTAACATTATAGTTACACTCCATTCATGTACAACAGTTCAAGTTTGTAGATACCACACTGAATTTTTGGATACAGTTTTATTTTCTTTCCACAATGGCATATAAAATGAAGAAACTTGACTTATTTTAGTGCATTTTTATTATTTGGTTAAGTGTGTAAATATTGAATCTATTCTATTTTGTGTTGCTTTGTCATGCTAATTGACCTTAAAGAATATGTTATGTTTGCATTGAGCTGACGGAAAACTGGACTTTGAACTCCTTTAGTCATTGAAGGTCATTATTAAGCTAAATTGCTGTTTTAAAAACTCACTTATTCTTACAAATACACTTATTATGAAAACGCTAACTAATGTATGCCTTGTAGATATTGTAGAAATGTTTCTTTAATATGATTCAAAGACAGATTTTTTTTTCTTTTTGCATTTTCCCCATTGTTGTTTGAAAGAAGCTGGTAGCAGCATTTGCGAAATGTGTGATCTGTTGAGAGTTTATCAGTAAAATAAATAAATGTAATTTTTATATTTAAAAGAAATGAATGTAACTGGGTTGCTCAGGGTTGAAGTGGAGGCTGTTTAAAACTGGTCCTGTGGACCAGCAAGACTTCTTCTCTGTATTTTTCTTTTTTATTAAACTAACAGTGTACTTCTTTTTATTGAGTCCACACCAGACCTCTATTATTTCCCCCTTTTTCTCTTAATGAATCTCTGGCTTTCAAGATATTCTAGTTTCGTCTGCAACATCTGTAGAATGAGTTGTATCATATAGCTTCCACCCTTTCTTAAAGGGATAGTTCACCTAAAAATTAAACATTTACTTACCCTCAAGTCATTTCAAGCTGCTTTTTAGCCCATACAGTGGAACAGAGCAGCTTGGACATTCTGCTATATCACTCCTTTTGTACTCCATATACAAACTTTTTTGTTGTTGTTTTTGGATGAACTATTCCTTTAAACATTGTGTGTATCAGGTGCCTCAAAACCCTACAGTCCATCCTCTCTCTTCACTAATGTCGACCTGAGAGGGTGTTCCTACTAAGGTTATGGTTACTGATCTGGAATTTGTGACCATTTGTCACTAATATCAGTTCTGATGAAAGAGGAGGTCATGCTTTTGATTACACTGTTCACGTTACAGAGTAATTGCATTATACATAAATAGCCATTTGTAATGAACTTAATGTGTAATTCTGTGGATCTGCTTTTAATTATTGCTATTGTCATGAATCATAACAACATCTAACGTGTGTAACATGGACGCTGTAATGTAAAGCAGTACTTCTGTGACTTTTTCCATGCCATAATCAGAACCTCCCAACTGTCAGTAATATTTCCTGAGCTTTGCGCATGTTTTCTCAATGCAAAAAAAATATCATGACCATAAATGTAAGTAATATAGAAGTAAATATGAATCTTATGTCTTTCAGGGAATGACGCAAACAAACAAACAAAAACATGGATAGAAAAAAAAGGTTTCTTCTTTTCAGATTCTGTATTGATGTGTTCTGCTTGGTTCTGTAAATAGCTGAATGGCTTACAAATTCTAATTGTAACATTTTCAGGTATTTTTGTACAAATAAGGGATTGATATATTCTGTTTAGAATAAAACATTAATTGACTGATATCTCAAAGTGTGTTGATATTATCCTAACAAGCAAACATTACACTTACAGTGTTCATATGATTAAGTGATTAGCACTTTATACTTGTGTTGTAGGACTTTGTAAGATGCTTACTGTTAAGGGAACATGTGACTCAGATTTTTTATTTTTTTTGCCAACCACCGTCAAGAATGCATTGCTTTAGATAAGGCAGGTTTATTTGCATATTGCATATTTATTTCATACACAGTAATTCACAGTGTTACATAATAAATAAAAGCTGACTAAGTGAAGACAATTAACAATTACAATTACTTGTTTTCTTAATTTTGAGAATGATTAAAATATCAATAATTTTAAATAATGGCAGAAATATTAAATATTAATATAAATACATAATTCACAAAACTGGAAATAGCTCAAGATAAATATTTATTTTAATTTGGATTTTTAAAAAAAGAATAAAAAATGTGAAAAAGCTCCTGAACAATGCTCAGTGTCTATTGGTATTCTACATTGATTCATTACTAGACAGTTTGTTCTACAAAATAGTCCTATATTTTCTTATAAACAGTACAAAGTATTAATATGGCCATATACAATTTTACATGTGTATTACATTAACAAAATGAAATAAATAGTAATTTTTCTAAAAATGGTGCAAACGTGTAACTTTAGACTTTTAGACACTGTGACAACTAGCTACACAGATACACTACAAGGATCACTTTTAATAAAGTTTCTAAATGTTACAGAGACATTATTAGCAGATATTACACAACATTAAACAATAAAACTACATGCTGTATTATTTTATAGAATCACCTGTTAGATTTTGATGTAAGCCACGTTCATGTCCACTAGGGAGCAGACAAACTCATAAATAGTAAATCAAGTCAATCATCCCCACCTGTTGGTAAAAAGGTTGATTTTTCCTTGGTTCGGTGTCGAGTAACCAAACTAGTCCTGTGCAGAATTCATCCATTTTATATAAATGATCAGGTTGTCACTGTGACAAGAGCAACTGTACACTGTAAACCGTTGTGTCAGGTAACCAAAAATGTGCTTTAAAGAAGTGGTGAATCGAAATTGGTTCAGCTATTTAAAGATAGCTAATTTATGATAACAATCTTTTTTTTCTTCTTTTTAAAGTGACAGGCACTCTGATTGACTGAGACTGTGTCACTGACTGAGTTATATAGATGCTCAGTAATTGCAGTCTCTCGGTCCCCAGCAAGTTTTAAATGCAAGCTGTGTCAATATACAGTATAAGCAGAAGACAGAAATTGGCCTACATTTACATAACATTTTTATTACCACTTTGGAACTACAAACCCGATTCCAAAAAAGTTGGGACACTGTACAAATTGTGAGTAAAAAAGGAATGGAATAATTTACAAATCTCATAAACTTTTATTTTATTCACAATAGAATATAGATAACATATCAGATGTTGAAAGTGAGACATTTTGAAATGTCATGCCAAATATTGGCTCATTTTGGATTTCATGAGAGCTACACATTCCAAAAAAGTTGGGATAGGTAGCAATAAGAGGCCAGAAAAGTTAATTATAAGGAACAGCTGGAGGACCAATTTGCAACTTATTAGGTCAATTGGCAACATGATTGGGTATAAAAAGAGCCTCTCAGAGTGGCAGTGTCTCTCAGAAGTCAGACACTTTGTTTTTAAGGGAGTGGCTTTAACCGATTCATGACTCGTATGAATAGGCCTAGAGAATTACTTTTATTATTTCAAATAATGTTCTCAGTTTGAGATTTGATGGGTACACTCTAAACAATGCTGGGTTGTTTCAACCCAATGTTGGGTCAAATATGGACTAACCCAATTGTTGGGGTAGTCCATATTTGACCCAACATTGGGTTGAAACAACCCAGCATTTTTTAGAGTGTATAAAAAAGGGAGAAAACTTTAAATAATTTGGCAGACATACAATTACAGTATCCATGTTTCGTCACTAAAGGCTTTATTTTTATAAAATGGATTTGTTGACAGCATACATTGATTAATACAAGGCTAGTCCTGCTGGATGTATTCAGTATATGGCTTCTGTGGATAGGTTTTCACCCAAATAGCCTGTTTCTGTTCTATAGACTTTGGTTCCAGAGCTAATTCACTCAAGATGTGAGAGGGAAACCTGTGATCTAATGCAGATCTAATGACTAAGTTTACAAGAAAACACATTTATTCCATAATACAATATATTATTGGTATATCGTTGAGTCATTTAAATGAGAAATAGCTGTAAACTGTACAAAGGCACTTCAGATGTCCTTAATAACTGCAAAATAAAAGTTTAATAAAAAATATTGATGGCTAAGACATTAGATAGGAGGCGACTAAGTTTGTGGAAAGTGAACAGGTTCTCATTAACTCCTTATGAATCAGCTCCTTATGCCCTGCCTGTGTGCGTTGCTCTGAATGAAAGGCTCGTTCTGATTGGCCGTCTGAACAGTGGCAGGGCTGATAAACCCCCAGGCTTCCCTGCTGTTCCACATCACTCTGCTTTGCTCGGTGTGTGTATACGTGCTTCTATATGTGTGTTTGAAACAAACAGAAAGCGTGTAAGGACCTACGAGAGGGAGGACTCTTCTGTTTGCCTGACACTGTAAGTACAATGAAATCAATTAGAGGAAAGAGAGAGAGATATTATGAGTGTAACACTCGTTGAGCTTTTAGAACACAGTCCAGGTACAAGGTCCAAATAGAGGACTATTATGGGATTTTGTCAGGTTGATGACATGTATTACTGCTGAGGTGGATTGTCTTTACTTTCTTTTTCTAAATTTTATTTCATATTCTAGAATATTGAGTTAAAAAAAAAATGAAGTCACCTTAATGTCAAATGTCAGCAGACTTTAGCTTTTACTCCATTTTTACAGCACCTGCTTCAGTACAACGTGACATGTCATAAAGATATCTGATCTTGGCAACCCATGTGTTTTCTGAGGCTTTTCAAATCAAAATCAGACTGACGATAGTCATTTAAGACTTTATATGCATTTTTTCCCCTTCAAAATTCTCATTAGGAAAATTAGGACAGTAATTGATTCATTAAATGCTTCTTTGCATTTGCTGGTTTGCTTTTATTGAGAATCATTCCTAATATTCCTATCCTATTTCTATTAAAAGTGCTTACAAAGTACAAAAATACATTACATTTTTGCACAGACCTTTTTTTTTAGGGTTAGGGTTGTTGATAGGTTCATGCTTTGTCCTCAGATGCTTAACCTATGTTTGCTTGTTTGTGTGCATGTGTAAAGATGAACAACTTTAATAGTACTTACTGGTGCGTGATCAAAAAGATCAGTCACCTTCTGGATGAGTCATCACATGCACACACACACACACACACACACACACACACACGCACGCACGCACGCACACACACACGCACGCACAGCCACACTGACACATCTCAATCCATTTGTATTATGTGGATTAGTGTGAAGAGATAACAGGCATACAAATAATTAGTAGTAGCCACTGTCACCAACCCTGCTGACAATTGGTATAGTCTCTTTCTATAACATTTGCTCTAACAAATTCTAACTTAAGGTCAAATTTACCTAGTACATGTGTCCTGTGAGGACAATCAGTGTAATGAATTAAATCAGTAGAATTAGTGTGAATTAGCTGTACCAGTATATTATTAACACTATTGATGGCAAAGTTCATGTCAGTGATAAATTATCATTGTTCATTTTTTATAGTATGTATTTGGCAACCTGTGATGTTCTTATCTGCAGAATATTGCTACTGAGGTGAGGCGATGGCATACCGTTTTTGGATTCATTTTCAAATTCACACAAATTGAATCAATTTGTGCACTCTCCATGAGGTGCATTTCCTGTTTCAAAATAAGCTGCAGGGTTATTATGGTCAACTAAAACTAAAACTATTGAAAATGCTTTTGTTAAATTAATTAAAGAGAAAAGAAAAGAAACTGGAAAACTGGAAAAAAATACTATTAAAAACAATAAAAGTGACAAAAGCATAAATTACATAATAGTAATAATAATACTAATGATAATG